CCGTCCTCTGCTGACCCCTCGCTCTTCATTCGCGCTGGCCAGACTCCGTTCTACATCCTTGTCTACGTAGACGACCTGGTCTTCGCCACTGCAGACAGGGACGCACTGGCCTCTGTGAAGGCAGAGCTGCTGAAGAGACACACTTGCACTGACCTTGGAGAGCTGCGCCGTTACCTTGGCTTGCAGATCTCCAGGGACAGAGCCGCGCGCACCATCACCCTGACTCAGTCACACTTGGTGCGCCAGGTCCTTCAGAGGTTCGGCCTTCATTTCTCCTCCGCACAGCCCACCCCTCTTCCTCTAGACCACAGACTCTCCGCTCCAGTTCCTGAGGAGTCGGTAGATCCCAGTGGTCCTTACACTGAGCTGGTGGGTTGCCTCATGTACCTGATGACTTGCACTCGCCCAGATCTCGCATACCCTCTCAGCATCCTGGCGCGCTTTGTGGCCACAGGCAGACACCGACCGCAGCACTGGTCTGCCGCTAAGAGGGTTTTGCGTTATCTTGCAAGTACATCGGGCAGGGGGTTAGTGCTAGGCGGTCGCAGGCTAGTGGTCCTTACTGGACACACTGACGCTTCTTGGGCAGACGACACCGAGACGCTCAGGTCTTCCCAGGGCTACTGCTTCAGCCTTGGCTCAGGTGCCGTCTCGTGGAGAGCTACCCGCTCCTCGTCTGTTGCCCAGTCCAGCTGTGAGGCCGAGATCTACACCGGTGCCATGGCGGTACAGGAGCTCCGCTGGCTGACCTTCTTGCTCACTGACTTAGGTGAGCGGCCTAGCTCTGCCCCGGTCCTGTACGCTGACAACAGGGCCATGATCCTCCTGTGTCAGGAGCCTCGACTCGAGGGCAGAGCGAAGCACATCCAGCTGCGGTACTTCCTCCTGCGTGAGCTCCAGCAGCGCCGTCAGGCTCGCGTAGTACACTTGGCCTCAGGTGCCAACACAGCTGATATCTTTACGAAGGCGCTTGCGCCTAAAGATCATCAGCGGCACTGTGTACAGCTTGGTCTAGTTCCTGTAGTCTCTCACTTGCTCGGGCGTTGACTTTGTACTGTCCTATATATATGTACACTCAGACTGGACTTGTGTCCTCTCACAGTGGTTGGACTAGTAGTGCTGCCCTGTACTTGTTCTTGCCTTGTCTGTACTCCTTCTGACTGGTCTTTTAGACCCTTGTCTCAGAGGCTGGACTAGTAGTGCCACCCTGAGCTGTTTGGTCAGGACCTGCCCCTATGCAGTCTAGGGGGTGTGTCAAATATGTGTATCTACTATGTTTGCATAGACTGTATAGAGCCATCTCTTATAGGGTACAACTCTTAGCTATATACACATGTACTCTCTCCCTACTGTAATTCATTCTATTTTCCCACTTTGTTACATGGATCGGTCTCTCTGTTAGCACGGGCATTGACCCTTAACAATTGTTGTGATAATTGAAGTTTTGCATTCCTCCAGGTTCTGTTTTTGGTGTAGCGCGCAGTACCGCGTTTCTCAGTAAGGAAACAGGTCCGAGTGATGACGTCAGCATACCGCTTCAGTTACGCGATTAGGCGTAACGAACCGCTTCAGTCACGCGAACAGTCGCGACCCTATAGAATGACGAATAGGTCGCATAGTGTGATAGTGACGAACAAGTACATTAGCGAACAGGTACTTTCCGTAGAGATATAAATCCTTGTAATGCCTTTCTATTATTAACCTTGACTTTACACAGAATTATGTGCTCAGGTTATTCAACCTTCGACTACCCACAAGTTCATGTGCTCAGGTTCACTCTGATAAGACTTCCGCTGGCTTACTAGTCTACCATTCCAGCAAAGATCCTTGGTTAAGTACTCGTGTTAGCAGATTCTACACTTAGTCTACTGCAACACCAGACGATTTACTTCATGGTATGAGAGCTATCTGGAATTAAGACTACTGTCAACTATGACTGGTCCATCACCAGCACCATCTGCTGGATCAGTTACTGGGACTACTGGAGCACATTCCTCCACTACCGCCGCTGGTCTCTCAGCCTCTGGGCATTTTCCACCAGCCTACGCTAATATCGGTATGCAGAACCCGCCTTCTGTGAATACTCCAGGTGCTCCATCGACTGCACCTGCAACACAACAGCAGCAATCACAGACAACAGCACAGCAACAAGCGTGAGTCCAGCCGCCAGTTTCAACACAGTCGATTTCGTCTGCGTTTAGTTGGATGAGCCTTGACGGCTTAAGCTACATGCGTGGAGCTACAGCTCCAAGTACTGGTTCGTTTTTCACCTTTCGTACAGCAACCGCAGTCGCAGCAGTTTCAGCATCCTTTTTATATCTTCGGTCGTTCTCCTGCTCAGCAACCACAGCAAGTACAGCAACAGCAGTATCAGCAACCACAGCAAGTACCGCAACAGCAACAGCAACAACAACAGCAACAACAGCAACAACAGCAACAGCCAGGCATTGTATTTCAGCCTCCAAATTTACTTAACAATACTCAGATCAAGACAACCGTACCTTTCAATGGTGTTGACTTCTACTCCTGAAGCTTCGAGTTCGAGCTTCTGGCACAGTCCGCTGGATTATGGCCTTTCTTCACTGGCGAGTTTACGTATCCTGTCGTGGGAACACAACTGGAGCAGCAGAGTTTCTTGCACGCCTCTCTCGGGGCATACACAGTTCTTGTACGGAACTTGTCACCGAAGGAGCAGCTTGGCGTTCGATCTTTTCACTCAAGTTTCACACCAGCCGAAACTGCATGGAATCATCTGAAAGGGGTATACATGGCAAAAGATACGATAACAGTGAGTAAAATACTTTCGCAGCTGACAAGTGTGCAGATGATGCCAAACGAAAACGTCATGGACTACGTCAATCGCGTCCGTACACTACGCGATCAACTTGAAAAGAGCGGAGGATACTTCCCTCGTGAGATGTATCTCACGGTCCTTCTTGCTGGACTTGGACCCGAATGGCAACAGACGCGCGCCTTCCTGCGTATAAATCAGAACCTCTTCGAAGCCGAAATTTCTGCGTATCTTCAAGCGGAGCAGCAAGATCTTGACCTGCAGTCACAACGCAACAAACAGGGAGATATACAACTCAGTTTCTATTCAACACCAACTCGACGTCCTCGACACTTCTGTCAAATCAGCAACAAGGGAGGACATTCTATCGATCGATGCTATTTTAACAAGAGGTATTTACCTCCTGAAGAACCGCAGCAGCCGAAATCATCACAGCCGATACGTCAGCCTTGGAAGCCGTCGTTTCAGCAACATGCGCCTCCAAAAGCAACATCTGCAATATCAACACCACCAATGACACTCAGTTCTGCCCCTCCAATCAACTTATCAAAACCGGCAGCAACTATTTCAAGCTCTGCCAACAAAACGGTAACGTCAAAAATTTTCTTACCGACTTCAAACACTCACATGGCTGGTTGCAATACAGATACCGATACTTGGTACTTGGATAGTTGTTGTGGCCACCATATGGTCTCTTCAACAAATCCTTTCATCTACAATCGTCGTCGACTTCTTCAGCCCTGCCCAATCACACTCGCCAACGGTCAAACAATCTCAGCAGAAAATATCGGCAGTCTACTTTTGACATCAATCGACACGGGCAAGTCTTTATGCGTTACCAGCGTTTTACTCGTCGACAATCTTGGCTTCAATTTAGTGTCAACTCTTCAACTCTTGAAGAAGAAAATCCGCACGGTCGGAAACTGCCTGACACTGGAGCAAGAGTTAATACATGATTTGGACAACATGTACATCGGAAAAGCAGCAACAAAAAATGGCGTATTCGTCTTACGCTTCAAAGCCGAAAAACCTTCTGAAGATACCGCTCCTCTTCAAGCTCCTTCAGTCATCGCAGCAGTAGCTTTGGTCACCACTCCACCGATTGAACTCAGCAGCAGCGAAGAAGAGACTCCGAGTAGCAGCACCACCGACATCTTTGCCGACACACCTGTCGTTAATATCAAAGAAGAAATCAGTCAAGAACACGAGGAAAATCTGCAAATCGCTCCAGAAAAATTCTTCGACGCTACAACTACTCTCGACAAACCTTCTCACAATTCTTCACCAGCCAGTCTCGACAAGTCTGCAGAAACATCTTCAACTACCACTCTGCCGGAGAAAGCAAGCGAGCTCAGTACCCCGCTGCAAAATCTCCTATCCTACAGCGACGTCGATTACCACACTACGAGTTCCAACGACTACGAGCACGGCATGGGCATCAACTGCTACCCAACCCCTCGTCATCGCGTTCAAGAAAGCAACGAAGCAGATGGGTTGAACAGTACCCTACACGAGCTACGTGAGCAGCTGCGTCCACTACTGCCTCAACAAATTGCTCTGCCCGAAACTGCACCATCAGATCTGCCCGTCACTTCACAGTTCTTTTACAAGCCTCCGAATGATATCGCGGCTCCTCTCCACCTTCAGTGGCGCAATCCCAACCACTTTCCACCCGACTCCTTTTTACTCTGCCGAAGTGAGGGGGGAAGGAGGATCTACACGCACTTCGTCAAAGCCAAAATTCGTCATCAACAAGGGAAGAACGCGATTGGTCTACCATTTGACCAATGGAATGACCGCCGACTACTTACAGCACATCAAGTTTACACGTCACAAGATTCCAAATTGCAGATTTTCGTTCGCCGGACTCCAACCACGACGTGACTACATCGAACTTCCAGGAATGAAGGGGAGTGTTGTGATAATTGAAGTTTTGCATTCCTGCAAGTTCTGTTTTTGGTGTAGCGCGCAGTATCGCGTTTCTCAGTAAGGAAACAGGTCCGAGTGATGACGTCAGCATACCGCTTCAGTTACGCGATTAGGCGTAACGAGCCGCTTCAGTCACGCGAACAGTCGCGACCCTATAGAATGACGAATAGGTCGCATAGTGCGATAGTGACGAGCAAGTACATTAGCGAACAGGTACTTTCCCTAGAGATATAAATCCTTGTCATGCCTTTCTATTATTAACCTTGACTTTACACAGAATTATGTGCTCAGGTTATTCAACCTTCGACTACCCACAAGTTCATGTGCTCAGGTTCACTCTGATAAGACTTCCGCTGTCTTACTAGTCTACCATTCCAGCAAAGATCCTTGGTTAAGTACTCGTGTTAGCAGATTCTACACTTAGTCTACTGCAACACCAGACGATTTACTTCAACAATATCAGCAATGTTTGGCCAGCCATGGTCCCCCCGTCTCTCGAAAAGCCTTGGTATATGATAGCATGGTCTAGACCGGATAATACATTTTGTATGTAATAGTCCTATCAGAGAAATACATGATTATTTGATACGTCGTGCTGGCATAATCAAATTATCAAGCCAAGTGCCGTTATGACAACCCCCTAAACGTCCCTACAACCTACGTGCAGCGTAGCCTCCGAGCTACCAAAAATCCGAACAAAATCATTGCTGGCCACCACACAATCATCCTACTCAGCTGGCATTAGCATACAACGAGCTCAACTTCCGTCGCTGTCTGAGCTCACCTTCCGCTGTTGTCTGAGCTCACCTTTCCCCGCTGTCTGAGCTCACCTTTTCCCGCTGTTTGAGCTCACCTTTCCCTCCCAACCAGGGCTCACCTTCCCCCCTTGACTGAGCTCACCTTCCCTCCCTCTTTGAGCTCACCTTCCCCTCCCAACCAGGGCTCATCTTCCCCCTTGTCCGAGCCCACCTCCCCCACAAACCAGAGCGGGACTTCCCCCCCCGTCCACCTTCCCCCTTGTATGAGCTCACCTTACCCCCCCTGGCTGAGCTCACCTTCTCCTCCCAACCAGGGCTCATCTTACCCCCTGGCTGAGCCCACCTTCCCCCCACACCCCACACCAGAGTGGGACTCCCCCCCTCGTCTGAGCTCACCTTCCCTCCCTCTCTGAGCTCACCTTCCCCCCCCAACCAGGGCTCATCTTCCCCCCTGTCCGAGTCCACCTCCCCCCCACACCAGAGCGGGACATCCCCCCCGTCTGAGCTCACCTTCCCCCCCGTCTGAGCTCACCTTCCCCCCCGTCTGAGCTCACCTCCCTCTACCAACCAGGGCTCATCTTCCCCCCTGACTGAGCTCACCTCCCCCTCCCAACCAGGGCTCACCTTCCCCCCTGACTGAGCTCACCTCCCCCTCCCAACCAGGGCTCATCTTCCCCCCTGTCCGAGCCCACCTCCCCCGTCACACCAGAGCGGGGCTTCCCCCACTGTCTGAGCTCACCATTCCCTCCCAACCAGGGCTCATCTTCCCCCCTGTCCTTGGTCCACCTCCCCCCCACACCAGTGTGGGAGAATTCGAAAGCGGGAGATTGGGAGGTTGCGAGTGTTGGCGTGCGGGATAGTGGGAGAGCGGGAGAGCAGGTGAGCAGGAGAGTGGGAGAGTGAGAGCGGCAGTTATTGGTGCGCCTTGGCGCGGGTTGCGGTTTTAGATGGGCGCATCAGCGCGTCGCGACCCCACCTTCGATCGCGCATGGTGCATGCAGGCCGGGCTGCGTCGTCTGAATAACGGCATTAGAAAGGGGTGCTAGCTGCAGCGCGGGGGTCCAACGGCGGCATCGACGCGATGTGGTGGCGGGACGGCGGGGCTTTCGCGAAAGTGAGAGCAGGAAAGGGCTCTCCTAACCGAGTGTGGTTCACTCCCCTCCCAATCTCCATGTTTTTCGCGTCGGCGCGACGTGGGCTGTGTTTGCTCGATGGGAAGGGCTGGGGACTATGTCATAACCTAGGAGTGCAGAATAGATGCCAAGGCACTTTGCATCTTGGTGGGTTGGTGGGAATTTTTTCTGTAGTGATGAACTTGCGTCGTATGGCTGTCGCTCGGTCAATCACCTCTTTGTGCCTGCCAAGTTTCCCCCTCTCGCGGGCCAACAGGGTTACCAAGTTTCCTTGGTGTGGGCGTTTCAAGGGTTCGCCACTGTAAGGAATTTTCCATTCCTTACCGAGCGGTACGGCTATCGCGTACGCTCGAACACACCCGAAGCCTCGGGACTGTTCCAGACCTTCTGACAGAACCGCCTCGGTTTTTCCAGACCTTCCGGTTCGACCTTCGGGAGTTCTCCAGGCCTCGCTTCGTCACTTCGAGACCCTTCGATCTCCTTCCCGAACCTTCCCATCGCATGGTTAGACTAGCTCTGGTGTTCCTATATCTTGGCTTGCCATTCCTTGTATCGTCATTCATTGAGTGAACACTTCGTTATTCATTTCCGCGCTACTCTGCTTGTTCATTCATAACACCTGGTAATCAGAGCCACTTTCCTCGCTCACCCGTTTTCGTGAGTTGATTTTTTTGGGGGGGGGGGTAGGTCCCTCACGTAAGCTGCAAAGCGGTTGCCCGCGAATTAGATTGATTAATTCGCCCAACTACGATAGCGTTTGCGCTTACCTGAGTACAGGCACCCGACGGAATTCCCCCTGCCCCGGCGGAGCATTCGCCAAATGGACCAAGCTCAGTTCAACGAGCTTCGGGAGCAGTTCAACGCCATGAACACGCGCATGGCTACAGTGCTGGAGGACAACGAGCGACTTCGTGCGGAAGTTGCTGAGTTACGCCAGGCGCGAGAGGATTCGCGTCAGAAAATTGCCGCCCAAGAGGAGGTCGCCAGCACCGGACGTGTCGAAACCGTCTTGGACGAAATCGCACGTCAGGTGTCACAGGAGCGCAAGGACAGTGAAGCCGCCGCAGCAGCTGATGTGGCAGCACGAGCAGCAGCCGAAGCAGCAGCAGCAGCAGCAGCAGCGACAGCAGCAGCCGCTCGGTCAGAAGCAGCCGCTACTGTAGCCGCACCGGCGTTTATGCCGATCGTGACGACAGCGACGATCAAACCGACAATGCCGCCCCCGTTCAATCCCACAGATAAGAATACTACTGTTACGGGCTGGTTATTTTCGGCAGAACTTTATTTTAATGCCGCTGGGATCACTGCTGACGAGTTAAAAATTCGACTGGCTGTATCACTACTGCGGGGACCTGCGCTAGATTGGTGGCGATATACTCTACAGGAGGGGGAGTTTTCGGCAGGCGACACACAGGGGTTTTTCGGAAACTTTGGGTCTGCTGCCCAAGGGTCAACCGCGATTTTTGGATCGACCAAGATTCGCACGTGGAAGGCGTGGGGTACAGCTCTGCGTGAACGTTTCGAGCCAATATCCGCCTCGGACAACGCACGTACGAAGCTGGACAACTGGCGCCAGTGGAGTTCTGTCCAGGATTACGCGTCGGTCTTCATGGCGTTATGCGACCAAATCACCGACATGCATGACTCCGAGAAGAAAGCTCGATTCATTTCGGGTTTGAAGCAGGACATTAAATGCGAGGTCCGACTGCGACTGCCGGCGACGTTTCACGAAGCTGTCCGGATCGCAGATAATTTCGACGCACATCGGACGTATGCGAGAGCGGGTTCCCGGGAGGGAAATCGTTTTCGTGGCCAGAATCCACGGCCCACGATTCACGGCGTAGTGGCGAAAGAGCACATGGACGATTTTCGCAAGGGACAATGTTTCAACTGCCACCAGCCGGGTCACCAATCTCACGATTGCCCCCGAAAGAAGCAGATAAAGAAGAACGACGAGGACAGGTCGGGAAACGCCAAGCGTCAGTAGCGGTCGGGCCCCCTACTGACCCTGCCTCATCGCCCGAAAAACAACATCCCCACCGAGTAGTGGTTCCGATACATGCTATCAACCGCTCCCGGCTGAAAAGGGAGGATGACCCAGTGGACCACCCTGTACTGGCGGAAGGACGACTTCATGGAAGAAAAATAAAAATATTCATAGACGGAGGTGCGAGTCATAGCCTGATAAATCGAGAGACAGCACGACGGCTACACCTGACGCTGGAGCGGTGTCTACCCGAAATCGACGCACGATTGGTGGACGGCACCCCGCTGGCGATACGCGACAAAGTACCTGTCGTTCGAATGAAGTGTGGCGACGATTTTGGTTTCAGCGCGCCGATGCTGGCGACAACGCTCGACGGTTACGACGTGCTATTGGGACGCGATTGGCTGCGACGATTCAACCCGCAGATCGATTGGACAACAGGCGAGTGCACAGTGATGTGCGACAAAGGTTGGCGAAAATTACCCACGTGGCCGGAAGCAGAAATAACATCGACACGAGTCAACGCGGTGTGCCTCAATCGAGCGGTCAAGAATGGAGCGGATTTATACGCCGTCCATCTAACCGAATCGACGGAGCAGAATGAGGCGACCGACATCAACAAACTCTGCGCCTCGGTCCCGGATGACTTGGCGAAAATCATTCGAGAATATCCTGAGATCTTCCCGGACGACTTGCCAAGTGGACTGCCACCCGGACGACCCCAGGACCACAAAATCGAGCTGGAGCCCGGCGCGCAGCCTACGGTACGCACGCAATGGCGCCTGACTCAGCCGGAGCTACAGGAGTTACGAAACCAGTTGGACTACCTGCTGGCGAAAGGGTTCATTCGGCCGAGCACGTCCCCGTTCGCAGCACCGATCCTGTTCACACCAAAAAAGGACGGTGGACTTCGCATGTGTACGGATTATCGTGCCCTTAATCGGGTAACGATTAAATCGCGCTACCCAATCCCACGAACGGACGAACTGATCGACAACCTTCGCGGAGCTCGTTACTTTTCGACGATCGACCTTCGTGGCGGTTACCATCAAATTCGAGTGTTCGCTGACGACTGCCACAAGACCGCGTTTCGTACTCGCTATGGGAGTTACGAATACACGGTGATGCCGTTTGGATTAACGAACGCCCCCTCGACGTTTCAACTCACCATGAATGGGGTATTCCGCGATCTACTCGACAAATGCGTGATAATCTACTTGGACGACATCTTGATCTACAGCAAGACCCGGGAGCAGCATTTAAAGGATTTGGAAGCGGTTTTTCAACGACTACAGCAGAATCGTCTCATCACCAAGGGCTCCAAGTGCCAGTTTTTAAAACAAGAACTGGAGTTCCTGGGGCATGTGATCTCCACGGAGGGGATTCGAATAGACCCGAAAAAACTCCGGGCTATTCAGGAGTGGCAACCGCCAACAAATCTGCAGCAGCTGCAATCCTTTTTGGGTTTCGTGAATTACGTGCGGAGGTTTATACCCAACATGGCGGGGTTAACTGGACCTCTAACCGACCTACTGCAGAAGGGAACTTTTTACGAGTGGGGGGAGAAGCAGCAAGCTGCGTTTGAGGCATTAAAAACTCTTTTAATGTCGCCACCAGTACTTCGCATCGCTGACCCAGAACGGCCCTTCGAAGTCATCACCGACGCAAGTGACATCGCCATCGGAGCAGTGCTCATGCAGGATTTCGGCAACGGGCTTCAACCAATCGCGTACGAGTCTCGGAAAATGCAATCTGCTGAGCGCAACTACCCAGTACACGACAAGGAGATGCTGGCGATCGTCCACGCGTTCAAAATCTGGAGGTGCTACCTGACTGGAGCAGACGTGACGGTGCGAACCGATCACAAATCACTACAGTACCTGAGGGCGCAGCCGAATCTCAACTCGCGGCAGATACGCTGGCTGGACTATCTGGAGTCAAATTTCACGTACAAGATCACGTACAAAAAGGGCGCCAACAATATTGCCGACGCCCTTTCCAGACCATCTGCCCAACTCGCAACAGTACTAGTCGCCCAGAGCAACCCGCTACTGAGTGGACTATTTACCCACGGGTATTCGACTGACCCCTTCTTCGTAAACGACGGCCATCTCCCAATCACTACGCGGAAAGGCGTCTATTACTTACGAAGCGGGACTGATCGAATTTGGGTCCCAAGTTATCGTCTACTTCGCGAATTACTAATTCAAGAAGTCCACGATTCGAATTTATCGGGACATTTCGGGGTTGATAAAACTCTGAAGGCGTTGCAGCGTTTTTATTACTGGCCAGATATGGTGACGGACGTGCAGCGTTACGTGGCCGCGTGTCCGATCTGCCAGCGAATGAAATCCTCACACCAGCGACCAACAGGACTGTTGCAGCCCCTCGAGCCACCTCAACGCCCATGGCAACACGTAACGATGGATTTCGTTACGGGACTACCGGCCGGATCTAGCGGAAACGACGCGGTTTTGGTTGTCGTCGACCGATTGACGAAAATGGCGCATTTCGCACCATGTCGTACAACCATCACAGCCGAAGAAACAGCGCGCCTGTTCATCTCGACCGTCGTTCGACTACACGGGATACCAGCAGCAATCATTAGTGATCGAGATCCGAAGTTCACGTCCAAATTCTGGCAGGACACGTGGGCTCGGTACGGCACGCGTCTACAGTTCTCATCCGCGTATCATCCACAAACGGACGGCCAGACGGAAAGGACAAATCAAACGATGGAGCAGCTGATTCGGACAAACTGCCCCGACCGAAACAAATGGGAGGACGTGCTGCCCATGTTGGAATTTTCCTACAACAACGCGCCCTCGGCTACGACTAATCACTCCCCGTTTTATCTCAATTACGGGATGGACCCTACAGTGCCGATCTCCACCAACGTTGAGAGTCAAGTACCACGATCGCAGCAGTTCGTCGAAGAATTACAGACTGCCCGAGACAAAGCTGTCGAACTTATTCGTAAAGCGAACGCGACTGCCCGACGGTATGCGGATTTACATCGACGGGATATTACGATGACGACAGGGCAACTAGTCCTTCTGGACACCAAGAATTTGCGACTACCATTACCGACAAAATTACGACCACGTTTCTGTGGCCCGTTCAAGATCGTGAAGATGGTGACGCCGGTGACCGCCCAGTTGCGCCTACCTGATGACTGGCGAATTCACAACAAATTCCACGTGAGTCTGTTGCGACCCTTCGTGCCTGACACGTCGGACATCGCTCGACAGCGATTGGTTCCAGACGTACGGCCACCAGCCGAGACGACCATCGAGCCTTCGAAAATCTTGAGCCATCGGATTCGTATCGACGGTCAAGGACGACACGTTGACTTTCTGATACGATGGACCAATCGTACCGGTGAGGACGACACGTGGGTGCCCTCGGACCAGATACAGTCACCTTCGATACTTGCGAATTATTTGGACCGCAAGCACGTGGCTGATATAGTTCACCTTCGCTAAGGGGGGGGGTGGTGTAAGGAATTTTCCATTCCTTACCGAGCGGTACGGCTATCGCGTACGCTCGAACACACCTGAAGCCTCGGGACTGTTCCAGACCTTCTGACAGAACCGCCTCGGTTTTTCCAGACCTTCCGGTTCGACCTTCGGGAGTTCTCCAGGCCTCGCTTCGTCACTTCGAGACCCTTCGATCTCCTTCCCGAACCTTCCCATCGCATGGTTAGACTAGCTCTGGTGTTCCTATATCTTGGCTTGCCATTCCTTGTATCGTCATTCATTGAGTGAACACTTCGTTATTCATTTCCGCGCTACTCTGCTTGTTCATTCATAACAGCCACTCAGAAGGTTCAAAATCCCTGGAACCTTAAAGCTATTAAAGCCCGACTGGCAGGTTGCAACTCTTTTTTTCTCAAGAGGCTGCATCTTGAGAACCTGTAACCCAATCCACCCGCAGTAGTGGTTGACGAGGCTCAAACACCTCAACTCTGTGCCTGGACAAACTTGGCAGGTTTGCGTCCCTGCCAAGTATCGAGGTGAAGAAGCACAAAGTGTGCTCAAAAGATAATTACTCGTAGGAAAATTATTTTCGGGAGGTTTAGCACAAGTGTACCAATGTGTGTTTGGTTGTACAAGGGCGAAACTGAAGCCCAATAGTTGAGTCTCGTTTTCGGGCATTTATATGAGGGGTCACAAACACTAGGCGTGCTATCACGTTTAGTCATTCGGCTATCACGAACAGTCACTTTTAGTGGCGATCTATCACGGTTAGTCACACGGTTATCAGGAGTCATCACTCGCTCGGGGCCAAGGCCATCACGTTCGGTCACAAAATGAAACAACCGCTAGAAAGCTGAAACTCCCGCCAAAAATTACACGCGCGCTGAGCTACTGTTAAGATTCGCACATCGTTCAGTCGCGTGTGGCCTCGTCCTTTGTGCGCGACTGATTTCCAAGTGATTTCGCCAGACTGTCAGTGTTATGAATGAACAAGCAGAGTAGCGCGGAAATGAATAACGAAGTGTTCACTCAATGAATGACGATACAAGGAATGGCAAGCCAAGATATAGGAACACCAGAGCTAGTCTAACCATGCGATGGGAAGGTTCGGGAAGGAGATCGAAGGGTCTCGAAGTGACGAAGCGAGGCCTGGAGAACTCCCGAAGGTCGAACCGAAAGGTCTGGAGAAGCCGAGGCGGTTCTGTCAGAAGGTCTGGAACAGTCCCGAGGCTTCGGGTGTGTTCGAGCGTACGCGATAGCAGTACCGCTCGGTAAGGAATGGAAAATTCCTTATAGTCAGCAAAACGGGAGTTACAGATGTAAGTTTGTAACCCATTCAATTTTTATGTCCTAATCCTTCCTAAACTATAACGAAGGCCAGTTCGTGTATACACATGATCGGATCACAGACCTAGTACCGCAAAACAAAAAGCCACATCGTGTATACGTATAATAGAATCAAACTTACATGAAAACCATCTTATTTTAAGTAAACGAATGTTTTTGCCTACTTGTCTATGTGGATTGACCAAGCCTTCTGCCCTTCAGAAGGGTCAATCCAAACCTGTGAAGTTAGAACAATAATGACACGGCCAGATATTCATTTCTTCTCTCTTATGACAATGGATTTGGAAATTGCAGGAAATATCACACATCATTGCCTACATTCGTGAAGTTCCTGGGCTGGTAATTAAGGTTTTCTCATGAAAAAAAGTCCAACTTACCGAACGTAGTCATTTTGCAGAATTGAAGACATCAGAATTGAATGAGTTACAAACTTACATCTGTAACTCCCGTTTCGCTGACAGTCTGGCGAAATCACCTAAAAATCAGTCGCGCACAAAGGACGAGGCCACACGCGACTGAACACTGTGCGAATCCTAACAGAAGCTCAGCGCGCGTGTAATTTTTGGCGGGAGTTTCAGCTTTTCAGCGGTTGTTTCACCTTGTGACCGAACATGATGGCCTTGGCCCCGAGCGAGTGATGACTCCTGATAACCGTGTGACTAACCGTGATAGATCGCCACTAAAAGTGACTGTTCGTGATAGCCGAATGACTAAACGTGATAGCACGCCTAGTGTTTGTGACCCCTCATATAAATGCCCCTCGTTTTCTTTCAACTTGGCCTAGAAAAAAAGACAACGTGGGTTGTTTGCGCAAAAACACAGGCACGCAAACCCCCCTTGCAACATGGCAAAGAGGAAGGTGTGAGTCCCCTGCCAACTGACCGGGCTCAAACCTGATACCCCTGCTAGGTTGCGTAGCCCTTGAGGAATCCCGCGCAAGCACGAGCTGGACGTATATGAAGTTTCGCAAAAACAACTCGCTTATCATTTTCCTCGTCAACCAATCGTAATCTGCTGCCCCACCTACTACAACAGTTCCAATATGCAACCTGCTGGTCGGGCTTTAAATACTTTTGCTTTATATTGACGTCGCATGCTATTGAAGGTTGTTGAATTCCAATATCGTCACCGTGTGCCAAAACGATCGGGTGTTATGAGTTATAACTCAGAGTATAGTGCAGAATACTATAGGGGAACGTGATTACAGCATGATCCTGAATATGAGACCTAGGGCTTACTTAGTGCGAGTTGACCAGGTCGAAATGTCGAGGGTTGGACCAGTCAAGGGCTCGATCGTCCGAGGGTGACGGGGTCAAAACGGGTTCGGAGCGACTCGGGGTCAGGTTGGGGCCGAAAAGGTCGTCGGGGGCTGGTTTGGCGCGATAACCAGGGCTCTCAATTGGAAAAAAATGTGTCTGAGGAATCAGACAAGGTTTGCGCATTTTGTCTGATGCACTTTTCACTATCAGAGAAGTAGGAAAAAGTTGTCTGATTTTTCAGAGAAATCTAGAACGAATGTCTGAAAAATCAGAGAAACGTATTTGCATAGTCTGTTTGCATGAGATGATGAGACCTGAATAATTAGCGGTTGCGGGTTACAAACGAGCATAACCGCTAAGCGTCCAAAGCGGGGACTCTGCTAGGATTTTTGGCCATCTGAAAATCAGACTTGGCTTTGAACTTTCATCTGGCCGTCATACGAAGACTCAGGGCGTGTCCAGCGAGTTCATTTTGCCCTAACACGCGCTTTTTACGTCTTCTGTACATGCTCGGAAAAATGTTACGGGGAATGTAGATGTCGCGAGGTTCACCTTTCGACCACAGAGAGCATGTTTGCTTCGGCCTTGTGTCCAGCCTTTGACACGACAAATGCTCTGCGCAGCGAAAACCAAAAGATCTTGGCGAAAGAAATGGAGTTACGGTAGTAGGAGGCCTCGGTGTTTTTGCCATGGCATTGACGAATCTGCCCGAATATGACGAAGTCGTGTATTTACTTTTCGTCAGCCATTATTTGTCGTTTCTGGCGGGAGTTCATTTCGGGCATGATTTCCAGCCGATTTTGAAACGTGCGCAACAGGACTGCTGGCACGCTTCGAGAGCGTCCGCTAAGAACGCACACTTTTCGAGCAGGTCCTAAGGGCGATAAGACTCACGTGACGTGTCACGTGCAGGCAGCCCTCTCTTTTGGCCCTGCCGTTTCAGGGTTTGCCCCCGCCCCCAAGTGGTATGGGGAGGAATGTCTCTGATGTGTGGGGGGGGGACTTAGCCGATTTTTTTGGGGTGCGAGGGGTGTGGGTGTGGGTGGGGAGGAATGTCTCTGGTGTGGGGAACTTAGCCGATTTTTTTGGGGTGCGAGGGGTGTGGGGAGGAAGGAATGTCTCAGGTGTCGGGAACTTAGCCGATTTTTTTTTGTATGCGAGGGGTGTGGGGAGGAATGTCTCTGGTGTGGGGGACTTCGTCGAAATCTTTGGAGTGTGAGGGGTGTGTGTGGAGCCGGTACACATGTATGTCTCTGTTTCAGAGAAACTCGATTCACTTGTCTAAAAATATGAGAAACTGGTACACCTAGTCTGAGAAATTCAGAGAAATCTTAAAAGTTTGTCTAGGCCAATCAGAGTATTTTCAAACCGTTATCTGAAAAATAAGAGAAACCCCTAAAAACCAGTCTGAAAATCAGACAATCAGACAAAAAAAGTCTGCTATTTAGGACCCTGGCGATAACCCAGGGCCGAGCCTGCGGACCCGCACTGTTTGCGGTACTCGCTGTGGCGAGCCCCAGTAAGGAAGCGTAATTCCTTACACTCTCCCACCTTCTAAAAGGAAGGCACTCCCTTTATCGAGGTCGAACCCTTTATCTAAGTGAATCCTCGAAGTGGCAGTAAATCTCCAGCCCTATGACAAGCGTAATGATGACGCCGGCCTGACGAGGTCTTGAGGTCGAACTGAAATCAGTGGTAAAAAAGCGTCGAAGATGGTCGAATTCTTCTGGTGACCAAACGGGCAAGGGTAAATACTCCAGCGGAAAGAAAATGAACAGTGAAACCGTCGAGTGGTCGATTGATGATGGCGCTTGGCAGTCGATTTTCCTCGAAATGATGACGGGCGAATATCGTGATGGTCGATGAAAATGAAGGACCCATTCATCAAATGTGAGGTCGTTCGAGTCACATGCGAGAGCACGCGTTCGTGTCCCACGAAAGTCAGCGAACTCCATCAACGAAGTGACGAAATCAGGCGCGGAAGCGTAACGGTGACGAATGTCAGTCGAAGACGGATGATGGTACACGCCGCAAAAGTCGTCGGAAGTTTGCAGCACAGATGCCCTTCTCCCCCCTCCAAAAGAAAACAGCTCCCAATTTCCCAAGTAGATCTCCAGAAAACCCAATGCTCCAGGGGCGTCGAAATAGTCCCACACTGCCGCTGAAAATCCCATAACTCAGCGTCTAGGATGCCGCTGCAAAAATCCAACCGCCATAGTTCCCAAAAATGCTCCAAATGTGTATTGTCTCCGCAGGTTAAATCGCTCTAATGGTCTTGAAGTTCCGCAACGACTGCATCAGAAGACTCCCACACGAACTCCTTTTTTTTTTTTTTTTTTTTTATAGAAGTCAAACACTTCTTACGAGCTGGCCCCAACACAGCTCCAAAGTACTGCTGCAAAATCTTCTCGTTTTTATATTGCTCCTGATGGGTTGCGGCGGGGACGTTTCACACAGACGGGGGAATTGAGAATGGAGGTGGTAGCGGGTGGTGGCAAGAGGCTGACGACGATGGCGATGACCAGTAACCTGTACCAAACCTCTCCTGTGAATATCCTCGAACAGAACCCGATTTCAAATGACGCCTGCTGCATCAGCTTCTTTGTCCGTACACGCCAAAAATGCCGGGAAAGGCCGAAACTGCTACTGCTCTCCCTCTGCTCCATAGAATC